AAGTGACTACGCACAGCAAGACGGGCAGCAGCATCGCGTGTGGCCCACTGTGAGCGAACAGTGCTGTCAGCATCAGCAGCAGGGGCAGTAGAGGCGCCAGACGTGAGATCAAACAGTGAGAGACCATCTTTCCTATCACACTGTAGGAAAAGCTGCAGATCATCGACCCAGACCTCAAAGTCAACAGCCCGACCCTCAGCATCAAAGACGAGAACGCTAGGGGTAGCCATGACAGCAGTAGCAGCAGGCTAGGGGCAGCAGCAGCAGTGGCAGCAGTAGGGGCGCAGTTCAGCGACGCTCTTACCAGGGCAGAGGGTCGCAAGTGGTGGGGCAGGGCCGAGGCGCACCGGCAGGGACGGGCCGAGGCGCGCCGGCAGGGTCGAGGCGCGAAGGTGGCAGCGGGGCCGCGAAGGGCGGCAACGGGGCCGTGAAGGACGGCGACAGGGCCGCGAAGGGCGGCGACGGGGCCGCGGAGGGGCTGCAAGGGGCCGCGAAGGGGCCGCGAGGGGCCGCGAGGGGCCGCGAACGGCCGTGAGAGGGGCCACGAAGGGGCCGCGAGGGGCCGTAAGGGGCCGCGAAGGGCCGTGAGAGGGGCCGCGAGGGGCTTTAGGAGGGCGCGACGGGCCACTAGGGGCTGGGGACGCGACGGGAGGGAGGGCACACGGGGCGCGACTCAGGCAGGAGCGAAGCGCGCTCCGGGCAGGTAAAAAAAAAGATCGATTTTGAGTGGTGGGCCCTAGGAAACGTTCCCACTAGGGAACCTGCTCTATACCATGTGAAGATTACAAGGAATGAATGACTAAGGAATGAGTGTGATACAAATATGAAACCCTAGAATTGTGTACCCCTTAGTGTCTAACCCACTACAGCCTATACAGACTAGATCATATAAGTCTGACACACTGGGCCCCCAGATGGGTCAGCCAGTGAGACAGGGATAGGGGCAGGGAGGGGAGTGACTGTGGTGCTGTCGCGAAAGAAACAGCGGGAACCACCAGAGTCAAGTGTAAAGGTGTGCAAGGCCTGTGCGGACGCAGTACCAGGGAGAGCAGACTCACTAGCACCTAGAGCTGCAGGCGCTATACCTGGGGCTATACCGGGGTCACGCGGCACACACAAGTAGCAGTCACCTCAGCACTAACAGTCAATGCATACATGGCAGCAAGAATAGCATCATAGTCAAGATCAAAGATAGGTACATCACGCCTAAGCAGGTCTGCCCAGTTGGGGAACTCAGTAGCATCAGGAAACTTGACGCGCCAGGCGTCGCTAAGCCGAGCGAAGCAGCGGTACTCAGTGTGAAAGCCGGTGCACTGGCGACCAGCGCGGGGACCTGCGCGAATGATATAGGGGCAGCGACCAGGACCCCCAGACGCCCCACGCCCGGCATACCAGTCAAGAAGCTGCTGGGAAGTGGGGGTCTGGCGCTGACGCTGCTGCGGCTGCTTCTGCTGCTGCTGCTGCTGCCCGTGGCCACCACTGGTGTCACCCAAGCCCCCACCACCGCCGCCACCACCACTCCCCCCTCCGCCACCACCGCCGCCGCCACCGCCACTGCTCCCGGCACCACCACCGCCCCCACCACCACCTCCACCCCCACGACCACCCCCACCACCTCCACCTCCCCCGCCGCCTCCACCACCGCCCCCTCCACCGCCACGTCCGCCACCCCTGCCACCCCTGCCTCCCTTGGAGCCGCTGCGCTTCCCACTAGGAGCGGAAGCAGCTGCGACCTTCTCAGCACCAAGGAGGTCGACAGCAGCAGCTGCGGAGGCGTAGGAGGGGGTAAGAGGGGAGGGGGTGCACCCCTCAAAGAGGGGAATGCGAGGAGTACCACGAGCAGCACCTACAGCGAGGATGTTCTTCTCTGCTGCTAGGAGGTGCTTCTCGAAGTCGGCGACAGTGAGAGTGGTAGAGTATAGGGCTAGGAAGTGGTCCCTGACGGAGCTAAGAGTGTCAGGGAGGCGGGTGACGAGGAAATAGAGAGTGAAGTACATCGGGGGGGGGGTTCTCGGCGTAGAACTCGGCTGGAAGGGCGGCACGAAAGCGAGTGTCACTAGCGCGAAGGTGAGAAATGAGGTCCTCAGCAGTGGTAAATGAGGACAAGTCTGGGAACAGGTAGGGTAGCATGAGCCGACCTAGGGCTGCAGTGGCCGGGGAGGAGTAGCGCGCAACTATAGCGTCATACAGTGCCTTAGCAGTTTTGTGCTGGCTGAAATGCGCGCGCTCAGTGATCGGCAGATGATTTCGAATAGCTAGGCGTGCAGCAGCATCGCGAGTCTGCCACTGTGAGCGTTCGAGAGCGGTAGCATCGTCAGCAGGAGCAACGGCAGTGCCAGACGCGTAATCGAACAGTGAAACGCCGTCTTTGGCATCAGTCAGAAGAAACAGTTGGAGATCGTCTAGCCACGTGGTAAACTCTATCGGGCGACCGTCAGGCTCAAACGCGAGAACATTAAGTGTCGCCATAATCGCAGTGTAGGCAAAGGCAGTAGGCAAAGGCAGTAGGCAGCAGGCAGCAGGCAAAAGGCGCGAGCAGCAAGGGCGGTGCGCAAAGCAGGCGCAGGCAGCTCAGGTAACGCGCGGGGCAGCAGTAGGCCGCGCGCAGGCTGCAGAGGCGCGGCTCGAGCAGGTAGGGCGGCGCGCGGCGTGGGCTGCGCGGCGCGGACGGTGCGTGGGGCGGCTGCGGGCCGCGCGCGCGCTGCGCGGGCTCGGCGCGGGCTGCGCAAGCGGTGCGTAGGGCAGCTGCGGGCCACGCGCGCGCTGCGCGGGCTCGGCGCGGGCTGCGCAGGCGGTGCGCCGGGCAGCTGCGGGCCGCGCGCGCGCTGCGCGGGCTCGACGCGGGCTGCGTGGGCGGTGCGCGGGGCGCGACGCGGCTGCCGAGGCGCGACGCGAGCAGGGAGGGCGACGCACGGGGCAAAAGGGGGGGCAGCGCGCGTGAATCAGGTCTGCGTGCGCGAAGCAGCAGCAGACAGCTCAGACAGCAGACAGCTCAGACAGAAGACAGCAGGCAGACAGTGCGCGCAGTGCAGCACGTCCTAGGCACAGTCATAGTCACAGTCGTGGGGTAGCGATAGGTGGGCCCGAAAAAAAAAAAAGACGGTCCTACGGACCTACTGCTCTGATACCATGTCAGAAGTCTAGGCAGGAATGGATTGCACTATGGAAGAGTTGGGTACAAGTATGAAACCCTAAACGGGGCTGTACTCCATATTGGCTACCCCACTACAGCCTAACCATATATATATCATACGTATAATTTGACAGACTCCACACATGTCCGTGTAGTAAGCAAATTTTTGACGTGGCAATTTCTTCGTAAAAAAGTCGCTTGCTATCAAGGCTATTGGGCAGTAGGTGAGCTGGACTTTGCCCTTGTCGATCTCGTCTTTGACGAAGAAGTAACGGAGGGCAATGTGTTTCGTGCGGTTGACGAAGCTGGGCTTGCTCGCGATCTTGATCGCACTCTGATTGTCGCATAGTAACTTGAATGACCCGTTCATCGCCGTCTTCGTTTTCTGCAGGAGCTCCGTGAGATAGAGACCTTCGCGAACTGCTGCGCTTGCTGCGATGAACTCAGCTTCGGCTGACGAAAAGGCGATGAGCTCCTGCTTCTGGGAGTTCCAAGAGATGGTTCCCGCAGGTTCGAGCTTGAAAATAAATCCCGTGCGGGACCTCCTTGTCAGAATGTGTAGTTTGTCTAGCCTGCAGTGGGGTACTCTATAGTGAGTACGGCCCCTTAGGGTTTCCTATATGTATCCACCTGCTTGCTAGTAAAACGCCTCCTTTGCTCATTCTCTCTTGCCTAGCTAGCTAAACCCTAGCTATGGCTCCTGCATTCCTCGTACTATTCTCACATGCTATCAGAGCGGTTACGCTCCTAGCCTGTGGGCCCGCCTCCTTCCGCTGCCATAGTGTCTGCCGCGCGCCCCGTGGCGTACGATGTTCATTTTTTCTTCCCGCCACGCGCTCAGGGCGCATGGCGGTTTTCTGCCCGCCATGCGCTCGGGGCGCGTGGCGGTTTCCTGCCCGCCGCGTGCCCCGGGAACGCGCGGCGGTTTCGTCGCCCGTCGTGGCGCCCCGGGGGCCCGCGCGTCCCCCCCTCCCGTCGCCCGTCGTGGCGTCCCGGGGGCCCGCGCGCCCCCCCTCCTCCCGTCGCCCGTCGTCGCGTCCCGGGGGCCTGCGCGTCGCCCCTTCTCTCGTCGCCCGTCGTGGCGCCCCGGGGGCCCGCGCGCCCCCCCCTCCCGTCGCCCGTCGTGGCGTCCCGGGGGCCCGCGCGTCGCCCCTCCTCCCGTCGCCCGTCGAATTGCCCCGGGGGGCCTGCGCGCCGCCCTTCCCGTTGCCCGCTGCGGCGCCCTGGGGGCCCGCGCGTCGCCCCTCCCTCTCGTCGCCTGTCGAAGCGCCCCGGGGGCTGCGCGCCGCCCTTTCCCGTCGCCCGTCGCAGCGCCTCAGGGACCCGTGCGCCACCTGCGTTTAGGGTATGGGGTGGCGGGTGTGGGGGTGGCGGGTGTGTGAGCCGTCCCCTGCTTCTCCTCCTCCCCCGTCTCCCACTGCTGCAGCTGCCGCTGAGGGGGGTGGGTGTGTGGGAGCCGTGGGAGTAGTGCTAGGGGGGTGTCGTGGGAGTGAAGCTAGGGGTGCGGCAAGGGGTGTGTGAACGGGAGTTTTGGGACAAAGGGGGAGGTTGAAGGGGGGGTGTGAGCCCGTTGCTCCAGTCGCCCGAGAGTCAGTTGCTCCTGCCGCTCGTCTAGCCGCGGAGCCAGTTACTCCAGTTGCCCGTGTGCCAGTTGCTCCAGTTGCCAGTGTGCCAGTTGCTCCAGTTGCCCGTGTGCCAGTTGCTCCAGTTGCGCCGTATGCCAGCAGCTTCAGCTGCCGTCCACTACCTCCTCTCCTCTCATAGTCCCTCCTCCTCCTCACTAGCCCTCTGTGATAGCCTCTAGCTTTGCTTATATTTGTAAACAATGAACTGCTGCTTGTTGTGCTCATCATACCCCACTTTGACTATGGGGGTGTGTCAGAATGTGTAGTTTGTCTAGCCTGCAGTGGGGTACTCTATAGTGAGTACGGCCCTTTAGGGTTTCCTATATGTATCCACCTGCTTGCTAGTAAAACGCCTCCTTTGCTCATTCTCTCTTGCCTAGCTAGCTAAACCCTAGCTATGGCTCCTGCATTCCTCGTACGATTCTCACACGTGCTACTGCTGCTGCTGCTGGTGGAGGTGCTGCTGGGAGTGCTGGAGGTGCCGCCGCCCAGCCCCACCGAGCCGCCCTGCTACTACTACTGCTGCTGCTGCTGCTCATGCTACTGCTGCAGCTGGTGGAGGTACTGCTGGGAGTGCTGGAGGTGCTGCTGGTGCTGGAGGTGCTGGAGGTGCTGGAGGTCCGGCTGGGAGTACTGGAGGTGCTGCTGGTGCTGGAGGTGCTGGACCTATTACTGACCGTCAGTGCCTGTCACACTCCCTTCCCCATCGCCTCACACACCCTTCCCCATCGCCTCACACTCCCTTCCCCAGCGCCTCACACTCCCTTCCCCAGCGCCTCACACTCCCTTCCCCAGCGCCTCACACTCCCTTCCCCATCGCTTCACACTCCCTTCCCCAGCACCACACACTCCCTTCCCCACACACTCACACTCCCTTCCCCACACACTCACACTCCCTTCCCCAGCGCCTTGCACTCCCTTCCCCAGCGCCTCACACTCCCTTCCCCAGCGCCACACACTCCCTTCCCCACACACTCACACTCCCTTCCCCACACACTCAGACTCCCTTCCCCAGCTCCTCACACTCCCTTCCCCAGCACCTCACACTCCCTTCCCCACCTCCTCACACTCCCTTCCCCAGCGCCTCACACTCCCTTCCCCAGCGCCCCACACTCCCTTCCCCATCGCCTCACACTCCCTTCCCCAGCGCCTCACACTCCCTTCCCCATCGCCACACCCCCCCTTCCCCAGCGCCTCACACTCCCTTCCCCATCGCCTCACACACCCTTCCCCACCGCCTCACACTCCCTTCCCCAGCGCCTCACACTCCCTTCCCCAGCGGGCCCCATGCCTCACCAACCCATCCCTAAACTCCGCATCCCTCATCTCCCATTGCCTCGCCTCACCGTCCCGCACCGGCCCATCCCTCACCTCCCCATCCCTCCCTCAATCTCCTTCCCTTTGCAGCATCCCATTCCCCCCACCTCACTCTCACACACCCTTCTCTCATCCCATTTCCCCATTCCCACACTCTTTCCCTCGTTTAGTCATCCCAGTTCCCCTATCTCACTCCCTTTCCCCCGTCCCTCACCCCTTTGCCCACCTGCTCAATCTCTGCTCTCCTTGTTTCGTCCCAAGTCCCCCCTGCTCACTCTTATTCCCCCTTCAAGGGAAGCGAGGATAGTGAGGAAAGCAAGGGGAGTAAGCACTCTATTTCCCCTCTTCACTCACCCCATTTCCCCCAGCTCACTCTCTTTCCCCCATTACTCATCCCATCTCCCCCCACCACTCTCCCCTTTCCACTCTTCGCTGTGCACCTGTCTCAACTCCCCACCCTCTTACCACTTACTCCCTCTCTCCCCCCCTCCCCATCTCTCCACCCATCGCCCTCCATTTTCTACCCCTCCCCTCTCCTCTTTTATCTTCTCATTCACGCAACCACCATCCTCATCTCCACCTCAAACCTAATCCTCTCACACTCCCGCACGCAGGGATCCACGGTTCTACCAGACTTACAGTCCAGCGCACAAGGAGAGCGTGAGCATTCATGCGAGAGGAAATTGAGCAGTCACGGCAAAGGTGAGACCGACACGGATCTAGCACCCAGCTATTGACTTCCCACTCAACCTCACATCCCCTTCCCCAGCACCCTCACATTCCCGCAGTCAGCTCCCCCCCTACAACTACCCCGTAGCTCTCCACCTCTTCCCTACTGCATACTCCTAGCCTCACTTCCCCTCTCCTTACCCCTTGATCCCATATCACCTCCTCTCCCCTTACCACCAAATCTCATCTCACCCTCCCTTCCCCCACCACTTAGGCACATCTCATCTCCGCAACCCATACCACTTACTCCCAACTCACCTACACTACCCATACCATTTACTTCCAGCTCACATCCTCTACCCATACCATTTACTTCTTGTGCATATCCTCTATCCATACCATTTACTCCCAGCTCACATCCTCTACCCACACCACTTACTCCCAGCTCACATCCTCTACCCATACCGCTAACACCCAAGTCCCTCGACCTTACCACTTATTCTCATCTCCTATCTCCCTACTACCACATCCACCAAACCACTTACTTCTCCGTTTCCCCCTTACCCCCCAATTACTTTCCCATTTCACTCACCCCATCCCACCCTTTGCCCATGCGTTCATCCGTGATCCATCCTGCTCACTCTATTTCCCCCTTTCCTCTGACTGTTTATTGCATGTGAGTTGCACCCCATCAAGATGGCGCAACCTATGGCGTCGGAACTTTGTCGCTTGTTTGATCAACGTCACCATACTGTCCAGTTACACCTTCGTGCTCCTGTCTGCTATCTGCGCGTTGGGCTGAGTGTGCTGATGCCGGACACAACTACAGCAACACTCTCTGATGTGTTATCGATTTACATGCTGGCAGCACCACATGTCACCCAGAGATTACTAAGAGTAGCTATGAATGCAGGTGATGTGAGGGAAATTGTTAGACCATCCATGGTGCCCACTATGTTTCCTGCTCAATCAAGCATCAAACATCGTGTGTCATGCACATTACGTGTGTTACGGATTTCCACGTGACTTTTCTCCCCCCGTTTACGCTTTCTCAACTTCTAATCCCCTCCAAATGTAGGAACCGGGGGCACTTTGGCCGGGAATATGGTAAAGTTGCAGCTTGAGGCGACGGAGAAAGCGTTTTGGAAATGCATGGGTGGGGAGCTTGATGGAGTGGACGATTTGCTCAAACGGCCCGATCGGATTTTGCAAGGGGTGGCCTACAACTTTCCATTATGGGAGTTGGACCAAAACGGGGTGCCAAGGAGAGTCAGCAGTCGGGGTTCGGACGAGGCTGATGTTCAGGCTTCGACAAATGTCCAGCCATCTGATGGTGAGAGCCAAGTAGCTATGCAACTAAATTGCAACGGTGGTTGGCAGGTAAAAACCAATATAGCGTAAAGTCTCCAGCAGACCCTAGACGCGGCTTGGTGCTTCACCACATAATACAACACATATATTAATACATATCATTGCCAATGCAATTACCAGGTCATGTGGCAAGCCACCCTGCAGTACTTGTCGAGGAGAGAGTTAGTAACACCTCACCTGTGAGCGTGGAACTGGGGAGAGGGTCTGCACCGCCGCCATGCTCAGAGAGGACTCAAGATGTGGGGGGTGGAGAGGGCACGTGACATGCGGGATGGGGACGGTGGTGCGGCGTCATCGCTGGGAAACGCGAGGGGGGTTGGAGGGTCAAATACTTCACCGCATTGCAGAACGAGCGCTGAGTTTGCACGCGACGAGATTGGTCCAGATGAAGAACCAGACAGGTACATTTTCACATCCACCATCCATTCCTTCCTTATCTCACTCTGTCTTGCAGCAGACCACTTTGCAGGAGATCATTCTCGATGCGACAGAGGCGGGTCATGTGCACCGAGGTGTGTGACGGAGAATTGGGGTGCGGAGTCTGCTGTATATTTGCCAAACTCTCCGACACATCTAGCCGTGCGCGCGTGGATGGCGAGACACTGGTGTCCATCCAAGGTTGCCTGCATAGTCGAGGGCGCAACCACCTCAATGAATGAATCGTTTCATTCACTCATAATCAAATACGCACCAAAACGCATCCGATTCGACGTGAGTTATGAGCCGCGAGTTGCCATGGCTGCTCTCCATTGGAACCACACTATGGATCGTATTATGCGTGCATATATCATCCGTGCGCGGCGTACTACACGAATAAGACGTGGACGGAGGGATCGAGTGCTTGGTCCTATGGACTGGAGTTGGGTTGACAGCATCCTGAGAGAGTGGAGGCGCCCCTGGACAGAATCTCCCGAACCTGATGAGGAGTCCGCTGACATTGGTGGGACTCCAGCGACTCGGGAGATGGACGGGGCGGCACCAGCTGTTGTGGCCGAGGCATCCGCTGGTCCTACACCCAACACAACAAGCACCAACATTCACGGTCCTCGCCGCAATTTATTCGGTGAGCATAATATGTGCGGGACAAATGAGTACAAGTCATTTCCATTACCTGCCTTGCTAATCTTTTGTGACAAATGCGCAATTCTCATTACTGTGTACCTTGTGGCTCATCCGTCACATACGCATTCTAATACACAAGGTGACTTGACCAACACACGCTGAGGTTTGATGGCAATGGCGGATGATCACAAGATGCGCACCCATTGTTGTAGTACGTGGTACTAACGGGCTTTTACCCTGCCGCCCTCACCTACGCATTATCCTAAACCTATGTCCACCCCTTGACCTGTGCTTATCTCTTCCCCTGCTATCTCCCTCACCTTTGCACACTGTCTTCCCCCCGCCTCTCTCTCTTCCCCCATCTCACTCTCTTACCCCTGCACCTTGAGTTTCGGATTGCAGCCCTGCTCCCCTATACCCCTCATATTTTCCCCAGCCTCCCCTACCCTCGACTCCACCTTTCCCTTACGTTACCACTAGCCCCCTTGCTTTATCTGGCTTACTCCCGTTTCCCAAAACTGTGTTCCCACACCCTTCCGATTTCGTGTCGTAATTCCGCCCTTCCAACATCTTGTTCCGATGTTCTCATTGCCAACCCCTCTTATCAACCGCAGTTACAGGCTTGTATGACCAAGCCATTTATGTCTATTGACCGTGGACGGACGTACAAATACAGACAGAATGGCTTGGTCATACAATTCCTCATTCGTCTTCGTCAAACTCCGCATACTTTTGGTACGTGGCACTAACTTTTCTTCCCTCTGTCACCCTAGCCGTTCGTTGTGCACCCAGTGTGTGAGCCCTTCACTGTGCACCCAGTGTGTGAGCCATTCACTATGCACCCATTGTGTAAGTATGTGTACCTGTCTGTGGTGCGAGCATTGTGAACAGTGTGGGCAAACTTCCACCAGGTGGGTGTTCAGTGTGCGCCGACTATACGGGTGTTGCTTGCGGGCATTGTGAGCAATGTGTGCACCAGGTGAGTCAACTCCGCAGCCATCGCCATCGCCGCATCCTCGAGCGGACAACAACTGTCCATTTTCATATCTCTACACCTCCCTCACTTCCCCTCCCCGCTCTTCCCTCTAGTCGTAATACTCATGTCCGGCCCCCAGTCAGGTTGCTGCGAGCAAACAACAACTGCCCGCTCTAGAGGCACTACCAGTGGGCTTACTGCACCTCTTGCCCTCTCTTCTCTCCTCATCTCCTCCTATCTCCTACCCCTCCACCTCTTCCCCACTGCAGAACTCACTCCAGCCACCGGTGGGCTTGCTGAGAGCGGACAACAATTGCCCACCCTAGAGGCAGGACTTACGAGAGGTGCGTTGGTGCGCTTCTTCTTGCCCTTGCTACTCCTCCTTTCCTTACGAGAGGTGCGTGCATGACTCTTGAGTACTTACGTCAAGGCGTGTTCGAAGAAACATGTGGGGTTTGCTGCGGGCGGACAATTTACTCCGCTGCTACATCTGTCGCCCATCTCCTTGTAACTGTTCCCCAGTTCACCTTGATTTCTTGGCCTCCCCCTTGGCGACCTTCTCCGAAATTGACACGTTTTTCCTCCCCCGCTGCTCCTCCGTACGGCATCGTGGAGGCAGTCAAAGCTCCGGGCTTACAGTGCTTAGCTGGCTCTACTTCCAACAACACCCTCTTCCACTCTGACATCTCAAAACCCGCCTCCTATCTCTCTTCCAGCCTCGGTGCTCTGCCTCCCCCTCCCGTCGCCCTAAACTCTAAGCTTGCTCAGTTTCTTCCTGATCACGGCAATTTCCCCCTGCTCACTGTGCACCCCCCTTTGCTCTGCTCTCATTCGCTACAGCCCTACTCACAAACTTCCCCCAAGTTCACTATCTTACCCCTATTCGCTCTCTTTATCCCTGCGCTCTCCCATCCCCCTTTCTCCTGCCCACCCTACTCACTCCGTTACCCCCAGCGCACTCTCTCCCACTTGCTTACCTCTCTGACCACAAAGTTATGTTTCTCCCCTGCAATTCTGCTTCTCCTATCCCCCCATTTCATCCTCCCCCATGTTCCCATCTATTCCTTCAGGTCTCACGCTTTATATCGCATGCTTCCATTCACTACATTCCCGCAGTCTCACACGGTGATAGCGAAAGAAATCTTCCGTTCCCCCTTTTTGTTCGTATTGTTTTCCGTGTTGATCCTTCACTCATATTCCACCGCAGTTACAGGCTTGTATGACCAAGCCATTTACACTGTCTATTGACGTAGTACGGGCACTTATAGCCCAGACAATATGGCTTGGTCATTCAATTCCTCCACGTGCTTGCCAGCCGCGAAGTGTGTATATCCGCGTGACTATGTAACGAGCCCATTCATTCCTTTCTCGGGGTGTGTCCATGAACTAATGTTCTCAACCTAGAATATTAATGTATATGATGTGTTGCCTCTCATTCCAATGAAAATTAATATGACAATGGTATTGTGCGTTATGTTCGGTGCCATCAAGACTCATTTTTTACGATGCAAGCTTACAACCCTACGCCTTCGGCTTATTCGCGATACCCATTGGGTTCAATCAAGCGGTATTGCGAGAGGGACAACACACGAGCCAAGCGGGTATTCATGTTAGTGCGAAGATGAGGGAAGATGCTAGTGTCATATAACGATGGTCCACGAACGGATGTCTTCAACTCGAGTTGTGGCACAGCCACCTGGTGGTGAATGAGATGAGACAGAAAGAGGGGAACAAAGGATATGAGAAGGGGGAGGAGGGGTGTGTGCAAAGCGGATCACAGCACAGCACCGCAGAGCCACAGAGCAGTGGTGCGCAGAGAACAGCCCCACACAACAGAGCACATGACAGCGGTGTGCCTCACCTTGTGACCCCCGTCTGCAGCCACACCCGCTCGCCACAGCAGCAGCTGTGGCGGGCTATTCTGGACGCAGCTGCAGAACGGGGTGTGGGGGCGTGAGGGATGAAACAAGGGAAATATTTGGGGGAAAATAGGAGTGGGGGTATGGGGGAGACAAGCGGGAGGCAGAGATGGGGTGGGGCGGAGAGGGGGTGGGGTAGGGGTAGAGATGGGTGGGGCGGAATGGGGGGATTTTGAGGGATGGGGTGGAATGGGGAACCCTTGAGATGGGGTGGGGCGGAATGGGGCACTCTTGAGATGGGGTGCAGCGGAATGGGGTGGGGCATCTGATGGGGTGAGGAGGAGATGGAGTGAGACGGAGATGGGGGGAGGCATCTGATGGGGTGTGGAGGAGATGGGGTGAGGAGGAGATGGGGTGTGGAGGAGATGGGGTGTAGCATCTGATGGGGTGAGGAGGAGATGGGGTGAGAAGGAGATGGGGTGAGGCATCTGATGGGGTGAGGAGGAGATGGGGTGAGGAGGAGATGGGGTGTGGAGGAGATGGGGTGTGGAGGAGATGGGGTGAGGAGGAGATGGGGTGAGGAGGAGATGGGGTGAGAAGGAGATGGAGTGAGGAGGAGATGGGGTGAGGAGGAGACGGTGTGTGGAGGATATGGGGTGAGGAGGAGATGGGGTGAGGAGGAGATGGGGTGAGGAGGAGATGGGGTGTGGAGGGGATGGGGTGAGGCATCTGATGGGGTGTGGAGGAGATGGGGTGAGGAGGATATGGGGTGTGGAGGAGATGGGGTGAGGAGGAGATGGAGTGAGTAGGAGATGGGGTGTGGAGGAGATGGGGTGTGGACAGGGTGGGGTGAGGGTATAGGACAGGGCGGAGTGGGGTGGGGCGTGGATGGGGAGATGGGGTGAGGAGGAGATGGGGTGAGGAGGGGATGGCATGTGGAGGGGATGGGGTGTGGAGGAGACGGGGTGTGGACATGGTGGGGCGAGGGTATAGGACAGGGCGGGGTGAGGGGCTAGGACAGGACGGGAGGGGATTGAGCGTGCTCGTTCAAGGGGAGTGCACATCAGCGACGAAGGGGACGCAGCGTGGTTGACGGGAGGGAAGGAGGGCGGGCAATGGGAAGAGAGTGAGCGCGGGCGGGCGGACGCAAGAAGGGAGGGAGTGATGAAGGATGTGAGGGAGGGCGGAAGGGGGGAATGCAGGAAGGGAGGGAGTGATGAAGGATGTGAGGGAGGGCGGAATGGGGGAATGCAGGAAGGGAGGGAGTGATGAAGGATGTGAGGGAGGGCGGAAGGGGGGAATGCAGGAAGGGAGGGAGTGATGGAGGGAGGAAGTGGGGTTGGGTGGACAGGGGGAAGGGATCCCTGCAGCACCACGTAGGCCTCTGTTGCGCGACTCTGCCCGCCGCCATCCGCCCACAGCGCCCCAAGCAGCTCCCCGGTGAACGCAAGGCCGAGGACAGTGTGGGAAACACCTGAAGGGGAGGGGGAGAGAATCGGATGGGGGAAGGACAGTTGGGGAGACGATCAGATGGGGAGAGGACGGATGGGGAGAGGACGGATGGGGAGAGGACGGATAGGGAGAGGACGGATGGGGAGAGGACGGATGGGGAGAGGAGGGACGGGGAGAGGAGGGATGGTATGAGGACGGATAGGGAGAGGATGGACGGGGAGAGGAGGGATGGTATGAGGACGGATAGGGAGAGGAGGGATGGTATGAGGACGGATGGGGAGAGGGAGAGGAAGACCATAGAAGTGATGGACGGGGAGGTGAGGGATGGGGAGATGTGGGATGGCGTGACGATGGACGGGGAGGAGAGGAGAGAGCGCACGGGTGCGATGAGAGGGGAGGGAGCGTAGGCGTCGGAGGGGAGTACGTGTGTGCGATGGGGGTCAAGCAGCCACTGCCGCTCTCCACAGGGAGGAACAGGGCAGAGCGTGGGGGGAAGGAGGGCTGAGGGTGGGGGGAAGGAGGGCTGAGGGTGGGGGGAAGGAGGGCTGAGGGTGGGGGGAAGGAGGGCAGAGGGTGGGGGGAAGGAGGGCTGAGGGTGGGGGGAAGTCGGGCTGAGGGTGGGGGGAAGGAGGCGTGAGGGTGGGGGGAAGGAGGGCAGAGGGTGGGGGGAAGGAGGGCAGAGGGTGGGGGGAAGGAGGGCTGAGGGAGGGGGGAAGGAGGGCTGAGGGTGTGGGGAAGGAGCGCTGAGGGTGGGGGAAGGAGGCGTGAGGGTGGGGGGAAGGAGGGCAGAGGGTGGGGGGAAGGAGGGCTGAGGGTGGGGGGAAGGAGGGCTGAGGGTGGGGGGAAGGAGGGCTGAGGGTGGGGGGAAGGAGGGCAGAGGGTGGGGGGAAGGAGGGCTGAGGGTGGGGGGAAGTCGGGCTGAGGGTGGGGGGAAGGAGGCGTGAGGGTGGGGGGAAGGAGGGCAGAGGGTGGGGGGAAGGAGGGCAGAGGGTGGGGGGAAGGAGGGCTGAGGGAGGGGGGAAGGAGGGCTGAGGGTGTGGGGAAGGAGCGCTGAGGGTGGGGGAAGGAGGCGTGAGGGTGGGGGGAAGGAGGGCTGAGGGTGGGGGGAAGGAGGGCTGAGGGTGGGGGGAAGGACGGCTGAGGGTGGGGGGAAGGAGGGCTGAGGGTGGGGGGAAGGAGGGCTGAGGGTGGGGGGAAGGACGGCTGAGGGTGGGGGGAAGGAGGCGACGGACGGGGAGATGAGCGTCGTTTAGTCGAGCACCTCATCTCGCGTAGCTCTGCACAGCAGTGCAGAATAGAACAACGCACTGCACAGCACTGCAGAGCAGAACAGAGCACACAACCGCACAGCAGAGCATGTTGTGTTGTGGCTCACCTGTAGCACGAGCACAGCAGCAGCTGAAGCACGCGCTTCCGGTTGTCCCTGTTGGGCGGAGGGTGTGGGGGCGGGAAGGGGAGAAACATGGGAGAGGGGGCGGGAGAAGAATAGGATCGAGGGCGCGGGGGAAATAAGGGAGAGGGCGATCGGGAGAGGAAACGGGGAACGTGTTGAGACGGAATGGGGTGAGGCGGAGAGAGGTGAGGAAGAGATGGGGTGGGGCGGACTGAGGTGGGGCGGAATGGGGTGGGGCGGAATGGGGTGGGGCGGAAATGGTGCCACTCACGGTGTCGCAGCGAGGGATGGGGTGATGAGGGATGGGAAAATAAAGGATGAGGACATGAGGGATGAGGAGGTGAGGAATGAGGAGGTGAGGGATGGGGAGGCGACGGAAGGGAGTGCGCATGGGCGGCGGAAGGGAGTGCGCATGGGCGGCGGAAGGGAGTGCGCATGGGCGGCGGAAGGGAGTGCGCACGGGCGGCGGAAGGGAGTGCGCATGGGCGGCGGAAGGGGGTGCGCATGGGCTCCGGAAGGGATTGCGTGTGGGCGACGGAAGGGAGTACGTGTGGGCGACGGAAGGGAGTGCGTGTGGGCGACGGAAGGGAGTGCGTGTGGGCGACGGAAGGGAGTGCGCATAGGCGACGGAAGGGAGTGCGCATAGGCGACGGAAGGGAGTGCGCATAGGCGACAGAAGGGAGTGCAGTTAGGCGACGGGAGGGAGTGCGCATAGGCGACGGAAGGGAGTGGGCATGGGCTTCGGACGGGAGAGCGCATGGGCGACGGAAGGGAGTGCGTATGGGCGACCGAAGGACGTGCGGGTGGGCGACGAAAATGGAGCTTATCGTGCGGGATAGAGGGGAGTGAGCTGGGCGATGGGAAGAGGGTGAGCGTGGGCAACGGAGAGGAGTGAGGAGGGGCGTAAGAGGCGTTGCGCGGAGGCGAAGGGAGGGGAGGGAGCGTGATCGGGACGGGAGGGAGCGCTCATACTCCTTTGAGGGGTGTGCGCGAAGGCGTCTTTTGAGGGGAGTGCGCGAAGGCGTCGGGAGGGGAGTGCGCGAAGGCGTCGGGAGGGGAGTGCGCTATGGCGGTGGAGGGAAGTGTGCGACGGCGACGGGTCACGTGGGCGACGGAGGGGCATGAACCCGCGCGACGGCGGCGATGAGAACGCCACAAAGTATGTGTAACGCGTCATGCTCTAATCTGGACAGAGCCGGGCGCGGCTAGGCACAACCGCGACATCGATGCGCCTGGCGATAGGGAAGTGAAACCGCGGACGACGATGGGCATGTGCACGTAAATGGTTACTGCTCTTCCCGTGCCGTGAGAACGCGATGTAAGGCGTGCGGAAAGCAAAGGCGACTCAGCTCGTCGGAATGGAGGCGTTGTACCAGAGCGTATTGCGGAACCCTAAACTGACGTGGAAGTCAGCGCGCTAACTCTCGTCTAAGCTATGGCTTTCCCAAGTTTGGCCCTGGACTCTGTTTTTTGTCGACCTGAATTACAGATTTTGAGCTAGGTGTGCACACCTCAGCCAAGAGTGGTGGTGAGACCCCTGCGATCCTTCCCTACGCACCCTGCGACTTTCCTCACGTTTTGAAGGTGAGACCTGGTAACCACCCTGGTTCGGGAGGGGGGGTGTTAACACCTCCAATTTTTTTTGTAATTCAGGCTGCGGGTTTTAATGCACCACCACTCCTTGAATGGGGAGATGGTTCTACGAACCTTAATTCTCGGCTCACGAAGGTACGTGGTGAGCTTGTCCAAGGGATCGGTGGGCTCATCATCGTCTTGCACACTAAAACCCCCCCTCCAAGGTAGACGATGAGTTTCGAGCAACTTCATTAATGCGATTGTTGGTGCTCGAGTTCTCTCCCACATATTCAACACCACACTCTCCCGTCTCATACTCGACATAGCGCCTCTTAATGCACTCCTCCACCTTCTCGACACTCACATGCCCGCCTCCTTCCGATGCACCCACGGCATTCTACCCAAGGTTAAAACGCAGGTCTAGCACGGTTGCCACTGTGCATTCCTCGGAGGAGCGAGTGTAGTACTTCGTCAACTTCTCAAGACCTTTCTTGCATGTATCGGCAATTTTTCCATTCTCGGCGATCACCGCTTCCAACTTGTCTGTGAGTTTGTTCACTAGCACAAGGATAACGTCGCGTACTCAAACGTTTCCAAAAGCGTGGTCACTTCAGCGTTTTGAGAGTTTTTTTTCAAGCATCTCAAGTGACTTCCACTCATCGTCCTTCATACGGCCAACACTTTCCGCATTCTCACCCTCCTCGCCAAAGAATGCGTTAATGGGTTGACACAAAATCTTGGTTTTTTTCATCATTGCATGGGCGCGTGGCCAATTTGTGGGAGTGTCCACCAAAATGGATGTCACAGCCGGTCCGGCAGGAGAGACCGCCCCTTGCCTTGTGCACCGCTGACCCCCCACTGCTGCTTTTCCCTACGCAATACCGACGCCTAGCAGTCAAGAGCTTGTAGTCTCTTCGAGGCATGGCCCACGACGATGCCACCTTGGCCCGTTTCACATCCCTTCAGGGCCTGGGGGCGGAGGCGTGGGTTTCTGCCGTTTCGTCGCATGACGACCCTACCTTTACCGCAACTGAATGGAGCATCTGTGCGGCCATGCACCTAGGCCTCCCTATCCAGCAGTTGATAGTCGCCGGCAAGTGCGTCTGTGGAGTCGAGTTTGTTGATCCTTTTGATCCACATCATGCCCTCCGCTGCAAGCATCAGTATGCAGCTTCTCGGGTTCACGACGCGGTTAAGTTCATGGTGGCGAAGATAGCTAAAGGGTCGGGTGGGGTTGTGACTATGGAGGATGACAAGTTGCTGCCAAGGAAGAAAGTGGATGTGGCGGTTCGGAGACTGAGGGAGGGGGAGGAGAATGTGCTGGAGGTTAGTATCGTAGACCCTACCTCTCTGTCAGCACAGCACTACGGACAGATTGGTCACAAGGTGGGTTTTGCCGCTAGGGAGAGGGAAAAGCGGAAGACGACGGATTACAAATCGCTTTTGCAGCAGCACAGGGGGGTACAGTTTACACCTCTCATTGCAGAGACCTGGGTATGTCTGGGCGCGAGCTTTGGAAGGTGGCTTAAGAAACACGGCGAGGCGCAGATTGAGGTAGCGAAGACGAAAGGAGCGGAGAGGGTCACGGGAAAGGGTTTTTCTGCATATCTACTCGGGTCACTTAGATCAGCCATAGGGGTGGCTTTGCAGCGAGCTCAGGCGCGTGTGATCTTGTTACACGCGGCGTCGATAATGAGAGGCCCAAACGTTGTTTGGGTGGAGCGAGGTGATTTTGAAGAGGATGTTGGGTGGGATTCTCCGTGGGCGGATGCGCCCTACTTGGTGGACATACGGATGTAGATGATGGGTTGGGGGGGGGGGGGGTAGATGGGGTGTCTTGATGGGGTGTCTTGATGGGGTGTCTTTGTGACGTGCCTTGATAGGGTGTCTTTCTAGGGTGTCTTTGATGGGGTGTCCTGATGGGGCGTCTTGATGGGGTTCTCTAAGTGTCGTGCCATTGTAGTCTTCCGGCGGCTGCACTTTCACTCCTTTATTTCCTCCGTTTCCCTTCCCTAGGTCACTCTCTTTCCAACTCCACTCACATTTCTTGCGTTATTTTGCTCCCTTGTTGTATTTTGTATTCGGCAGTAACAGTAGAAACATTCGATCTTAAAAAAAAAAAAAAAAAAAAAGGATGTCATATTCCAAACTGTGGAATATTTGGATTTCCCCACAAACCTCCCGTTTTGAAGAGAGGAGCCTCCAATGTTTGTAGCAAACCCTCGAATATTCTCAAATGCACCTTTGGAGGTGGGTGCTTTCATGATGGCCTCAACTCAAGATTGATCACGCACATAAAGCAAAACATATGACTCTCCTTTGTGAATTTGTTCCCTTCATCAAGGAGACGTAGCTTGCATTATCAAGTGTGATGGCCATCACTTTGTCTTCAAGGCGTCAACGAACATGGACAGAGCGCACGAAAGCGTTCTCATTACTTCACCTGTATGAGAACCTTCCATGTGAATCAAGTCAAGCAAAATCTATTGAGACTCAAAGTTATCATCGAGCCAATGATCGCTTATTGCCATGAAAGCGTCCATGTAGGGGGCTGTCCATATGACATACGTGGAAGATATATTGCATTGCAGCCCTTGCAATCTCTTCTTGATTTTTTCCATGTATGCATCGTATGCAAGATGCAAATCTTTGGCGATGGTGACACGGATGACATATTCACCTCGTGTTGCAGCCATTCGCCCAATCTTTCAACTCCGGACACTCAAGTCCACGGAAAAGATGCTTCCTTTTGCAAAAATGCGCACAAGACGCCTCCAATTTTCGGCATAAGAGTATGGCGTGAGATTTAGCATGACCCTTGCAATGTCTTCGAAAGTGCGTGTGGTCCTAGGCCAACCCCAGTGAGGGGGGGTGTTGGAGAAGCACTGGGATCGCCCCCCCTCATCTTCCCCCCCCCCCCCCCCCCCCCCCCCCCCCCCCCCCCCCCCCCTTTTTTTATCCAGACCCGTTTGCTCAAACTCTTTAGAATGCAATTCCCAATGTCGTTAGTCATGGCACTTGTTGTCCCTTCCTTTTTTAACTTCTTTTTTTTCGTAAAGAGTATTTTTTGCACTCTCGAGCTTATCTTTTTTCTGTTTCATAGAACATCCACACCAACGATGTCATTTTTTTTTTTTTTTTTTTTTCACAGGCGCGTCGTCATCCATGGTGTCACCATCAAGTCCACGCTTAAGAGGGTTATCAAAAGTTTCAACAGCATAATCACTTGTCAAAGCGTCATACGCCGCGGAGGACTTTGTTGGGGTCGATGAAGCTGAATACTAAAACAATATGTTGTAGCAAACTTAGCATCGTGACAGAATTTTGTAACGATCGATTCAATAAGAACGTCGGTATGGAGGACTAATTTGGCTTAGAATTTCTAAAATCTTGTAATTATGCCATGGTTTGCTTTCTGGTTTGAATTTGAATCTCTCTGGAGTTGAGAGGATAGCTCTGAACCTCTCTGGAGTTGAGGGCTGGAGAATGTGTGTCGAGTGATATTTGGTTAGAAATGTGAATTTAGAACGCTTTCTTTCTTATACTGATCATTTGGCATCGTTCTCATTTCAACTGGGTTAATACCAAGGGCCAAGAGATCTAGACTATTTATCACCCCCTAACTAGGTCTGGCCAACCGCCACCGCTAACCCCTTTGGGTTGCCCACGGTCCTTGCACATGACGTGCACCGTGCCACGCGCCCAAGGCGCAATCGCTCAAGGCCTGCCCATACACCACGGGTGCGGGTCCTTGGCCACCGTTCCCATTCCTCGTGTTAAGATAGTAGCTAAGGCTAAGAAGCCATAGCTAGGTTTTAGGGTATATGAAAGAGAAATAGGAGAAGAAGTGATTGAACTAGAAAGGAGAGGGATACAAGTAGCAAGCCCAAAAGGGTTATACTCTCTTTTGAGTACCCCACTACAGACTAGACAAGCATTATAATCTGACACACCCCCATAGTCAAAGTGGGGTATAATCAGCACAGCAAGAAGTCATAGAATAATTCACAAGCACAACCAGAGCTAGAGGCAGTCACAGAGGGCAGGTGAGGAGGAGGAGGGACTGTGTGAGGAGAGGAGATAGGAGGCGACGGCTGAAGCTGCAGGCACACGGGCAACAGGAGCGGCGCGCACAGTGGCTACCGAGCGCACGAGGGCACCGGGCTACGGGAGTATCTGGCTCCGCGGCTACGACGAGCGGCAGGAGCAACTGACCCACAGGCGACTGGCGAAGCAGGCTCGCTGGGCTACCGAGAGCACGAGGGCTCCGGACTACTGGCGCTGCTGACGACACGACGGCGACCTCCACTCTACCTCCCCTAACAGTCCCACACCCCCTTCTCACACACTCCCTTGCTGCACCCATGTCTCCACTCCCACGACACCCCCTTAGCTCCACTCCCCTCGGCTCCCACACATCCACCCCCCTTCAGCGGCAGCTGCAGAGTGGGAGACGAAGTAGGAGGAGGAGGAGGGGAAGGGTAGCACCCACACTCATCACCCCCACACCCGCCACCCCCATACCCTCCCCCCACGGCTGCACAGGGTCCAGGAGCGGCGTCGCGGGCAGCTGCAGGGTCGGCTGCTGCAGAGGCGGCTGCT